GGTGAAAAACATCATATTCACATAAAATGATATGCATAGTAAATAGCAAAGCTATGTATTATATTTTTAATAGATGCAATCACATCCTGTACATCTTCCCATGAATCAGACCTACCACTCCTTTCCCCGTCCTCAATAAACACCTTGCATTCACACACATCGCATGTCATCCTTGGAAAGGGTCTTACCTTGTAAAATCTGGAGGAGGTCGGAGCTTTCCCCCCCTCTCGTCTTTCTCCTCCAGCTGCTGCTATACGAACCCACCCCTAGGGAATTAGGAGAAAGGGAGGATTCAGGATCGACAAGTGCAAGAGAAGGAAGGCACTCCAGAGCCATCAGCTTGCATCAACCTGGCCATGTTCACCCAGAAAAAGGCAGAGGGGTCCAGTTCATTCCCTATGGCGCCGCCGATCTTCAGGTCTCATCTATACAGCACAGGCTGGTCCTGATGCAGGTCCATGATCTGACAGGCAGCAGTGAGGCTGGGATGGAGCACAGCTCTTCTTAAAGACACAGCACACCTTTACAGACAGACATCAGTATAAGGCAAACATACATTCATAATATAACTCTGGAATGTATCCTTTTTATACAGACATATGCTACAAATGTAGCATGGAACAACAGATCCCTGTGATCACAAATGCTGCATACCAACACATACAACAGGATTGCTTTACTACAGGATGTTTGTAAGGCAGCGCATCAAATGGGCGAAAAAACAAAGATGAGTAGTTTGCTATGAATTGTATCTACTGGATGTATAGATATACTGTATACATAACAAAATTGTATTCCTGTATGTATTCTTTTTATATAAAAATATGCAAAAAACATACATATTTAGCACAATGCGCAGCTATTCTGTGTATACACACAATTTACTAAGAAGAGTGGTTTGCTATGGAATGTACACTCCAGCGTCCAAACATATGCTGGCCTAGCTAAGGCATACTGCAAATAAAAATGGGATTTTCTCTAATGCTTTTGGGTCTATCTTACTGCCTTTTGCATTCATAAATGTAGATACCATGTAGGAATAAAACCAAATGTGCCTACGGTTATTTAAACTCTGATTTGTACTAGGTTACTGATAAATAGGCCAAGTGAACTATGTGCAGAGAGTTATTGTACTGTGCATATTGTTGTACACTTGTGCAGATGTTCAAGTACCAGCTGGCATATGAGATTGCATACACGGGAGCTTGGATAAGAGGTTCCAATAATATATACTTGCCTTTCCTAAAGACATCAGAGTTATAGTCCTTTGCCATGATTTGGTTACAATTGGCCAGCATCAGGACAGTACATAAACATGACCAGGTAGAATGTTGAATCACAAACAAGTTGTCTGTGAAGGTTCTCATTCATTCAGGTCAGGGTATATCTGTAAAACAATAAATCAAGACAACAGGACTGTATTTTTCTTTAAAGACGGTTCACTGGTCATCTGACTAGTTTTCTCAATTCAGAATGACTTGTACAAAAAAGCTCTGGGAATAAATATGGTGAATGTTGCTCCAATCAACATAATATGTTAGTCGTACCCAGCATTGGGTCAGAGACCTCATGGAGGTAAGGTGTTGATTGCATTTGTATAATTGGAGCTAGCCAACACAAACACAAACAATGCTACACAGGATATTCAAGGGTATCATCTCAGAGACACATAAAGGGAAGTTCCACTTTTGATAAATAAATGAATAAATAAATAAATGAATACTTCATAATTCAGGACAATATGTAAGCTGCTTTAATAGGTCAAAATGTGTAAACACCAGGCAGTTTTCTTTTGTCAGCAAAAAAAAAAAAGACAGTTGACAGTGTGTGCAGGAGAGAAGTGCAGAGGATATGACAGTGGACAGTGTGTGCAGGAGAGAAGTGCGAAGGATATGACAGTTGACAGTATGTGCAGGAGAGAAGTGCGGAAGGTATGACAGAGGACAGTATGTGCAGGAGAGAAGTGTGGAAGGTATGACAGAGGACAGTATGTGCAGGAGAGAAGTGCGAAGGATATGACAGTGGACAGTATGTGCAGGAGAGAAGTGCGGAGGGTATGGCAGTGGACAGTATGTGCAGGAGAGAAGTGCGGAAGGTATGACACTGGGCAATATGAACAGAAGAGAAGTGCAGAGGGCAGGACAGAAGACAGTTGGTGTGATTCAATAAGGCATTTGTGACACATTTCTGATGTAGTAGGAAGCCTTCTGCAAATTTATTGAAACCCGTATGAGATTTTCATCATTAGTACGGACCTGTGCAACAAATTAATGTAGTTCTTATTTGCAACACTTTTTTTGTCACTAATGTTGCTACAAATTCATAAACAAATTCTGCCATATTGGTGAGAAGAAAAGTGGAGGTAAATAAGACATCTTCAATTTTGGAGTAAATTAAGCAACAGATTCACATACACCTTACTAATGCATACATGAATCTGGCACAAGTTGAGCCATTTGTCGCACTACTGCGAGAGAAATTTCTGAGTAACTAATACGTTCTATGAATTTCACAGTGTATGTGCAGCAAAGGAGTGTGAAATGTATGATAAAACGCCCTATGTGCAGTAGAGCAGTGCAGAGGGTATCACAGAGGGCAGTAAGAACAGTAGAGCAGGGCAGGGGGTATGGCAGGGGGCAGTATGAGCAGTAGAGCAGTGCAGAGGGCATGAGAGAGGGCAGTATGAGCAGTGCAGAGGGTGTTATAATGGGCAGTATGGACAATAGAGTAGTGCAGAGGATATGACAGTGTGGAATATGAGCAGGTGAGGAGTGTTGAGAATATGACAGCAATCAGTATGTAGAGAAGAGGAGTGTGGAGGGTATGGCAGTGATCAATATAAAGAGAAGAGGAGTAAGGCGGGCATGACATGGGGGAACATATGCTTGTACAACCAGCCACACGAAAACCGGTATCCATAAAAATCCAATTTTATTGTAAAACATGCCAAACAGAATCCAAAATCAAACATGTATGGCAAGTATGCCAAAACAGTATATCCCCCATCAGTGCAAGATGTGGTGAGAGATTTAAGAGTGCTATTTTATCACAAAACAAAAGGATGCAGAACTTCAGAGAGACATGTGCAACAAAACTTTTTTACGTAGATGGAAAGCTTTCATCAGCAAAAATTATACTGAGCCAGAAATATCACAAAATTGTGAAACCTTTCACGTTTACAACTTGGTTTTTAACAGCCACATTTTCAAATATCCTGGGGGCATTGGATGTTAATACATGATCAATATAATATTACTGTTTTTCTCTGAATTTCAGAGGCAACCAACATGGCTTTGGAATTTATTTCTCTGTTTATTATCTTTTATGACAACTGTTCTGTTATATATGTTGGTTATATTTTGACTACTATGGTTACTCTGTTTCTTTTTTTAGGGTATATATTTTATTCTTCCCAGGTTGGGAATTGTTTAATAAAATACTAACAAACTATGTTTAAAAATAATACTATATATCCATCGAAAAGAACTTTGCAGAAGAGACTTCACTTTATAGCATTTTTGGCTAGATCAAGTTATAAGCATACCTCCCGAATAGGTATGAGCAAATTTGCGAGTTTCTGTTCCCCCCACATTTAGATGAAATCATGAGATTTCTCTCAAATTTTGCAATTTTGGCAAAATGCATTGGAGTCCATAGGGAAGGCAAAATTGAGGTAGTTTTTATGAATGCAATGGGCTTTAAGTATCTACCAAGGGTTACAGAAACTCATTTAAACTATCCTGGACCTGTTTTTTTTGCCACATAATGGCACCATTCTACATGTGTCCTCCTCTGGGCTTACTCCTGCCAGGTGCCATGTCACTATAGGACACAACACTGTGGGAGGATATGTTATGGGACACAACCTGGACGTGTCAAATTGCAGCGAGCAACATGTGGAACTCTTCAAGAGAATAAGGTTTCTATTAACCATCTGCAGGTAAGTTAAGTATGAAATATTATTCTTCATAGAGTTTTTTAATGCTTGATTCATTTTTTTAATGACAGGTCCTCTTTAACTCTTGGGCGACACCACCCCCCTAGGGTTGCCACCTGTCCGGGATTCACCCGGACAGTCCGGGTTTTGAATACTGTGTCCGGGTTTCATGACAGCTGAAACCCGGACAAAAGATGTCAGACAGACAGGGACAGCCAAAATTAAGATGGGGCTACTGGCCCCCCACTGAGAATAGTCTAGACTGTGATATGTACATATTAATGGGTGGAGCTATTTCCATGTGAATGAGCTGCGACTCACTCTCCCAAAAAATTTCCGTGCGTCGCCATTGTGTTCGGGTTTCGCTGGAAGAAAAGGTGGCAACCCTACACCCCCCAGGAGAAACGATATAAGGCAAACAACATTTCCTATGGGTAGAAGCAGTATATAACCCCTATTCCTGAACTTTTAATGCTCTTTTCGTGTTTTCCTTCAGAGGAAGAAGTTAAAACACTCAAAACTGCATTTCTCAGTGTCCCGCGCGCCAGGCGGAACTGTTCCGCCCGTCATATGTGCACTCCGGACATTTCATAGTGTCGCACCGCTACCTTGGTGAGGCGCACATACTTCCTTGTTGTTGCTGTGAGGGACGCGCTGATTGGCTGGCTCAGTACAGCGCCATTGAAGGCTGTTATGATTGGTGTTATAGGTGGGGAAGCGGGGTTATGGTGAGGAGGGGATAGATATATGAAAGAGCCGTGACCCCCGGAGGCGAGAAGCGGATCCCTGAGGTGTCACCTCACTACAAGCGGGATCTGCCATGGCAGGGAAGGGGGTGAAGCGCGGCGGCAGCTGCTTGCTTCTTCTGCAGTGTGAATGGGACTCGTGTAGCTATGTGTGTTCCAGGATGGAGGAGCTGTGTTCCCATGTGTCTGATCACCTCCGAGTCCAGCAATTGGCCAATGGAGAGGAACATGTCACTTGTGAAGGTGAGTGGCTGGCTTTCTCTTCCCCAGCCAGGCTGTCTTGATCATTTTCCTTTTTCAGGTTTCCCCTCTCAGGATGAAATTTCATTGTGCATACACAATACACAATACAGCATTTAACAATATTTTTTTAGACACATTGCTGCTACATCAGTATACTTAAAGTGGACCTGTCAGTAACTTTACAGGTCTGCGTGGATGTATCACAATATACAGCAACAGTATCATTTTTCAGAAAAGCTCTTGCATTAAAGCTGAACTCTAGGGAAACAAAAATACTCGTGCAGGCTGCCCTCCCCCCCTCTGCACTGCAAGGGTTAAATGCACATTATGCCAAGGGTACCAAAAAAAGGGACCTCTACTTGCCTGATCTCTCGCTCCTGCAGGCTCTTTACACTATGTGTGCGGCCAACACAGCCTCATCTCAAAGGCATTCCGCTGGTCAAAGGCACTCTGATGTCATCAAGTACAATGCAGGGCAAATAGTCCTCCATTGTACAGGAGGATGCAGAGGATCTCCTACAACCTGGAGCATCACAAAGAAGAGGAGAGCATCGGCTGCTGGGGGAGCAAGGGAAAAGTAAAGGTCCTTTATACTACTATCCTAGGCATGAATGAGCATTTAAACCTTGTAGTGCGTGGGTAGTCCCACTGCAAGGGTTTTTTAGTTTCCCTGGAGTTCAGCTTTAAAAAGCCTTCCTTAAAGTCCAGTCATTGACTTTGCCTAGGCTGAGATGTTATTAGTCTGCTGCAGGCAGGTGGAAGCATTTCCTCAGACTCCTCTCCTCCAGTGATTAAACTTCAACAATGTAACTTTGTAGCAGCCCGCAAGGTGAGAGGCTGCAGCTGGGAATGTGCTGTGTCAGGTATTTGTGAATACAGACAAGGACTGCACAGGCATCAGGATTTACATGATTGTGTCACCTCTGAGCTGGCATCTCAGTCCAGGAAGTAGGTGGTCACCCTGGACGATGCCTGAACAAAATGGTGCTTTCCTTTTATTTCCTTTCCTTTTTTTTTTGGTTATCTGCAGATTTTCTATTATCAGATGGAAAAAGTGCAACAGATTGCTCCATCTACACTAAACTGTGTGGATGGAGGAATCTCCCACTGGGCCAAGCTTCAATATCTTGCTAGTCGGCCCCGCTGGCTGTCAAAATACCTGCATCCAATCAGATTGTTCAGGTATTTT